AGCCCAACCCACTCAAAATTCAATTTTCTAAGTTCAATTTTCAAAATCCTCAGACCTCCATAGCCTCCAACTCAAACCTCTTGTCTCTTGATATCAGCAGTCTTTTTCTGATTCTTGATCACACAGTCGCCCTCCAAAGGCTTTGAAAAGTAAGGTTATAACAGTACCAAAATATCGAAAAATAAATAAAGCACCTCATTCCAGATTGAAACCACAGATTACTTATGCTTTGCCGTCATGCATCTCTAATGCCGGCAACTACGGGAAACATCAGAACAATTACAATCAGCTCTAGGGCATTCCATTCCATAAATTTCCTTTTGACTATTTAAACAGGTAATCATTTTGCCCATATTTGCCCATGGAAAACCAGTGGGCCAAATACACCAACTTTTTCTAAAACCTGTCAAATCAAATAGCTGCCTGATTTTTTATTCATACAAATGCGAGATCACTTACAACCTAACAATACTGTAACCTATAAGCAAACAGATATTCCCACTACAACTCTCTACCACGAAGAACACTTTTTTTCTTGCTCTAGACACAGAAGACGTAACAAATCTATTCTAATCAAAATCATAAAATGAGAAAATCAACAAGTCCACACACAAACAAATTGCCATGCATTAAGTGAACATTACATAAGCTTACGCAGCTGAACTCGTATAAATTTAAGAACTGAAATTTTCAAGGTTGCGATCATGCTAGGACCAAATAAACACCCATCACCGCTCAAATCATCAAATAGAACTACTGCTTAAAAGTTGCAAAAGTACCTCAAATCGAATATTCTTGTAGGTAAGCTCCTCAACGTTGCTTCCAACAGTAGGGTGAGTAGTGACCACCTCTCCTAGGTGTAGTTTGTATAGCGTTGTTGTTTTCCCAGCGTTATCCAATCCAACGACCACAATCTTGTACTCTTTTGCAGGGAACAGCATGAACCAAAACTTGGATATAAATCCTCCCATCTTCTATATTGTTTAACACCTAAATGAAAAATCATCAGACCCATTCCATTCAATAATTAGTATGGGATGAAACAGAAACAGAGCATACCAAATCCCAGTTGTAGTAAGATCCACAATAATAATACCAGTCAATCAGATGATCAAATTAACGGAAAACCTTTACTTAACAGGCCGTATCAAATATGTCGGGGAAAGCATCCATATTTTTTATAAAAAAATCAGGAACAGATCTAATTCTAGAACTATGGATGTGGTTCTTTAATGTTCTTGAGAAATTAGTAAAAAGAGATATGGGAAATTAAGGGAATGCCACAGAACCTGGATTAAAGAGGTAATGAAACGACGGAGACGACGGAAATGATGGTGATGAGCGGTGAAAAGAAGGATATCTATCGACAGTTGTTGTGAATCGAGATGAAGAAGACTGAAACCCTGTGAAAACCTTTGAGAGACCTTTTGATTCAGCGTTTGCAAGGAAATATTGTGTACGATCCTCCGTAGAATCAGTGGAAGAGAAAAAAAGGTTGAAGAACTAGTTGATAGTAATAATAGAGATAATTAAGAAAAAAATTAGGTGAGGTTTAGCATGGATTCAAGGTGGAAACGATTTATCTGTTGCTTCTTGGAAGGGAAGAGAATAAAAGAAGAAGGGAAAGTTCTTCAACAAGCGCACAAAAGGGACAAGTTAGAATTTGCTCTTGATCCCAGCTGTACGGTTATGCGGACATTGTTAATGAGGGAAGGGCCACCTTGGCAATTTAACATGGACTTAGAAAATAAATCAGTATATCCTAGTCCTTAATGCTGTTAAGAAAAATGTATTTTATTTGTGAAATATAAAAAATAATGATATTTTCTAATAAAAATAAAACTTAGTTTAGTTTTTGATTAAATTAAAATTAAAAATTTAAAGTAAATGTTATTAAAACTAGATCATTGGTCTACGTGCATTCTTTTTTTATGTTTCATTTATCTTTTAAAAATTGTAAAATTCATAATCATATGAATTGAGTTTTTCTTTATTTAGTAACTACTTACATTAATATTAAAAAAAAAATCATTTTTTACTTGTTAGTATCTCTTATTGTTTTTAAATAGTCTGTGATTTATTTCAACCTTTACTCATTATTCTTGTTGTTCTCTCTAACTTATGATGCACTTTGTTATTCCTAAACTCATGTGGTTACTATGAAACGTGTCGATTCTTGGTAACAAAGTCGTACATGGGTGTTCTTATCCAATGAGATTGGCTTTGTCTTCTCTTTTATTTTATGGTTTCTCTAACCTGTTCATCTTAATTTCTTTATATTCTCTCATTTTTCTCATAATTGGTCTCAATTACTAAAATAATCCAAAAGGGAGGCAAATTAAGTTGTTTAAATTTTCAACCTTTTATACCACTACAAGCAATAATATACAAGAAAGAAAATAAATGTCAAGTAATAATAAAAAGTATAGTAAAATAATTAAAGAGAGATAGATAGAATGTGCAAACTTATATTTATAGATATTATATATAAATTGCACTTATTTTGTAACAGCTCCGGAAATTCAAAAGGAAATACATATAATAATTTAAGTGCGGAAACGAAATAAAAGATTAAAGTTAACATCTTTTACACAATAACTTAAAAGTACTAAATAACATCACAGAATAAGTTCTCTAAAAGAAATACGAGAAATGAAAAAATAAATAAAATTATAAAGCATATAGTATCTACTCGTAGTATTCTTGTGGATCAGGCTCGGGAACCAGGACCTCCTGATCTGAAATGGTTAAATAAGGAATGAGTTACACTAACCCAGTAAGGATATCACAATATATCACCGTCACATAAGTAAAGATTGGTAGAAAATCAAAACAACCAATGGAACAGTAGATTTAAACCAATACATTTATTTAAAATAAAACTATTTACCCTTTTTCTTACCATCGAGAAATTTATGAAAACAAATTATAGAAGAAATAATATCATGCAGATCACAATTTCATGCATAATCAGTAACATAAAATATATCATAAATCTGTATTCATTAACAATAACTGATTATCACCATTTCTCATTTTCACTAGTCTACTAGTATCCACGAAGATTCATAGGAGTGTCCTCGCTACACGTGAACTCTTTTCATTAACAATCTTAATTTCAGAGCCGTCTCCATACCCCGTCCGGTATGAGGGTGAAGTGGGTCGTCCCCATATCCCGTCTGGTATGAGTGCCAAATGACCAAGTCTCCATATCTCGCCCGGTAT